TAAATTGTCAACAGACAGCGCAAGTGACTTTCGCATTGTGCACATGTTTCAATTTTGTGTTCTTGATATAATTAGGCTAGAGTGTCCCGTAGGTTTGGAGCCCGAGGTAGACATCCAGTAAGCGACGTTGCTGTTGAAGAGATTGCTCGAGTCTCCCGATATGAGCGTAAGTGTAATTTTGGGTCTTTTAAAGCTGAAGGAGATGTTCCCAAATATTCATCGCTGTACTCCCTCACTCCTTGATGTGAATTTTATTGCCTCTTCCACCTTTTGGGATTGCTCTGTTTGTTGTTGTTTGTGTTTGCATGCGAGTAACGTGGAGCTTAATTTATGCAGTATGCTGTCAGGCGGTGGACAAGTGAATCAGAGAAGGTCAAGTTTTCCTATCTAATACTTGGATTGATCGCTCCTTTAAATGTGACATCGGATGAAGAGTTCCCTAAACAACCATTGTTATCGATCATTTGAAGTTTGTGGTAGCGGGATGAAAAAAGATGCAAGGCTCGTATGCTATATTATGTATTTCTTATTATTTTTAAGGTGAAGAAATTGCGAGCTACCGCCTTCCTCGTGAGTACGAATGGACAGAAGAGAAGAAGGAATGTACTCAAACGTACCTCTGTGCAAAGATGCGGGAGAAAATGCAGATCAATGGAGATTGAATCCCTCTGCACTTTCTATGTTGTACGTTTGTTTTTGGGCGCAAAATGTTAGTGTTGTGCCTCGAGAAACCAAAACAATCGCCAAGAAAGATAAACAACCAACCAAAATCAACAACACAAACAACCAAACACCAGTTTTACGTGGTTCGGCAAGATGCCTACGTCCACGGGGCAAGGAGGGGGGAGTTTTCACTATTAGAAATCAAGAGGAACAAACTAGGGTTACAAATCTCTCATAAACCCTCAACAATCAACTCTCAATCTCTCCAATTGCTCCTAGAATAGAAGCCCAAAGAAAACTCTCTCAATCTGCTCAAATTCGTCCTTGCTCTTAACCCTAAAAAACACCCAATGGGTATTTATACAAATCCAAAACGAAGCGGGTCTGAAAACAGGCCCAACTCAAAACCGCAGCGTCGGTCGACCGGTACGGTCGACCGCGATCCATCGCGGCGGACCGGTCGACCGCGATCAATTCCGGTCGACCGGCCCGGTCGACCGACCAGCTCTCAGTAGAAAACCCAAACTCCAGAGAACCGTCGGTCGACCGCACCGGTCGACCGATCTCCTTCCAGACGCACAGGAAGCCTTGTGCACGAATGCGGTCGACCGGGCCGGTCGACCGCCACCCAATTCTGCTGAAACCGAATTTTCCCTGCCAATTCTACAAATCTCCACCTCGGCGAAGATTCTACCAAAAAAACTGAGCCGACACCGATCAAACCAATACCTCAACTGTTGCACCCAGTATGCCATGGCAACGGACTCATGACAACGGACTCCAATCACAACACGTCGAGATCCAAAACGGGAGTGCGAACACTCAACCCCAAACCAACTGTGTCTACTCACCAAACAACTGAACCTACACCGACTACACCAAATGTCTCACTTGCTGAGACCCAAATGGGAGTGCGAACACTCTCCCCAAATGTCGATGTCGCTCACCAAATCGGCTGCATCATAAAGACTGCCTACGTATCCTCTTGCCCAAGGAATCAAGCCTTCACGTAGTTCACCATATGGGCCTCCAAAGGCCCTCAATCCATCCTGCGGCTGATAGTATCATCAACGACCTCAAACTGAAGTGATCCAAACACCTCCACCTGAGATGTAACAATGACCGTATCCAAAACATACCCATCAGCTGCATCCAAAACAACTACCTCATCATCTGCACCCATAAATAAATGACTCTCACGCTGTGCCACCTCAGCTGGAATCCCAACCAATGCAGAATGACCTGGAGTATGTGAGGAAATCCTCACCCAATGTGGAGTAGCATCAACCTCCACCCGCTGCGATATCCCTCTGACCTGATCAATACTCTCCACCTGCCGAGAGTCCAAAGTGACAAACCTGCTCAGACCAAACTCAGAAGCTCCCAACTGATAGCCAAAAGAACTCCTGAATCCCAACTGCGCAATCGGATCCAACCTCACATCAACGATGTGACCAAGTGCTGGGTAGCCAAATATCCGACGCCGGCCAAAATCTGAAACAGCTCCACCAGATCTAACAACTCTATACGCAGCAGTCGGCAACCTCATAAGATGACCCAAACCTGTCGAAGCCTGAATACCAGATCCACTGCTCGACAACCAATACCGATCCTCCTCCAGAAAGGAACGGCTCACTAAATCCGCCATCTCATCACGTCGCCCCACTGTCTCCTTCCCTCTGAAGTGTCTCCAACTGCCGTGAGCTCGGCACCAATGCAAGAAAGGACTCCTACTAGAATAAGTACGACTGGTAACCTTTCTGCCCATACACCTCCTCCAACTGTTGCGGACTACTAGGTCTTTATACCAACGGGACTTGGTTGCAACCCAAATATGCCTAGTACAATCCCCAACATAGGAAACAAAATAACGATTACCTCCCGATGATGCCTCCTCGGAAAGCCCCCAAATGCCTGACTGAACACCTCCAATAAGACCTCTCGATCGATGGATAGAAGTGCTGAACTCCACCTCGGTCTTCTTGCTCATACCAATGTGCTCACAGGACTTCAATCTGTAGGTCATAGCACTCCTCAACAATCTGTGCACGGTATAACCAACAATATATCCCAGCACCAAACAATGCCACAGTCTAGCCATAGAAGTAGTCAGCGCCCTATCAACTACCGTGCTCCCAAGTAGATAATACAAGTTACTCCGCCTGACTCCCTTCATCACAATTATGGACCCCGATGTGACCTTCAAGCGAGAATCCGCCAAGATCACCCTATAGCCTGATGCCTCCAATACCCCAAGTGAAATGATGTTCTTCCTCAGTTGAGGAACGAACCTCACATCAGCCAACTCCCGGATCATCCCGTCACTCATCCGAATCCGAACGGTACCAATACCACCAATAGGGCATCTGTGATCATTACCCATGAGAACAGCATCCCCTCTTTCCAACTCCTGAAAGCTGGAGAACCAATCCCTTCTAGGGCATATGTGGTAAGTAGCACCAGAATCCAACATCCACTCGGTGGAGTCGGCAACATCAACTGACGGAAGAGCTGGGCACGAATAGCCCGAAGAATCTGAATCTGAAACATCGCCACTAGCCTTGGCAATATTCACCTCTGAAGCTTGAATAGCTTTCCCTTTATTCTTCACAGCTTGCAATTTTGGGCATTCGGCTTTCCAATGTCCATCCTCTCTACAAAAGGCACACTGATTCTTACCAACTGCAGGATGCCCCACTCTAGACTGCGACCTTCTTCCACGGTTTGGACTTCTAGCTCTTGCAACCAATGCACCAGCAACCGGCTCGATGGAAGTCTCCTTGTCCTTCTTTCGAAGTTGATAATTCACAAGGGCTGCGGTGACCTCACTATACGAAAGTGATGCCTTTCCATTAATAAGAGTGAGGACGAAGGTCTCATATTCCTCGTCAGGCAAGGAACTCAATAACAACAATGCCTTGTCCTCGTCTTCAACCTTGACATCTACATTCGCCAAATCTGCAAGTAGCTTCGTGTAGTGGTTCATGTGATCACTAATGGATGTCCCCTTCTTCAATTGGAAGCGATAAAGCCTCCTCTTCAAATGCAAACGATTTTCGATGCTCTTCGTCAAATATTTGCCCTCTAGGACCTCCCAAATCTTCTTTGCCGAAGTTTCATTCATCACATCATATTTAAGGTCTTGGGTAAGGCAAGACCTAATCACACCACACGCCGTTCTATTCATTTTATTCCAAACCTTTTCATCAATGTCGGCCGGTTTCCCGTCCAACTCCAATGTTTGATAAATTTTGATAAATTTTAACTATATCATTATTTCTAATTAATATTCTATTAAATAAATATAACATTTTATTAATTATGTACCTCCTCATCTTCCTAAATAATTATAATTATCAATAATATTATAAATATTAATTATTTAAAAATAATAAAATAAAACAACTTATAAAATTTTTAAAATGCAAAAAACACCCCTAAATTTTAAGTTATATAAAAAACATAGGAATTACAAACAAAACCCTAACAATTTTGAAATTTGAAAAAAAAACATCCTAGAAGTTATGAAATTGTAGAAAACACCCCTCATGCTTTAAAGTTTAATAAAAAACACCTTACAAAATTTAAACCTATAAACAATATACTGACAAAATATCACACTTTAAAAAGATTATCCACCTTTATCCCATTAAAATATCACACTTGTATACTCACTTGAACAATTATCCCAATTGCACTTTAAAAGTTTTGATGGACTAACACCGCCAAGATATTCTTTATGGTACCGTTTGGCAAAGGGTTAAGGAGACTTAACCTCTTCTTAACTCGCCAAACAAAAAAAATCTATACAATGGTTAAAGTGAGTTAACCCTCTATAATTTGTCAAATATAAAAAATATAGAAGAGTTAAGCTAACCCCCTCTAGAGGGATTAAAACGAGTTAACTCCTCAAAATGAGGGGTTTACTAATACTCCTATTAAGAAGGATTTAGAGTTAACCCCTCTAATTATAAAGAAAATAATCAAAATCATTGTTATTTCTAAACACTAAAACTGATCATAAGGACTAAAATAAAACTTATTTAATGGCTTAATAATTTAATCATTCAGATTATCAAATGAGCTAATTACATTAATCCTTCTTTTTAACATTTTTAAACTTTTTTTTTTTTGTTTTAATCCTTGGCCAAACGGAGCTTATAAGTTATCCGCACACAAAAAGATAAAACAAAATAAAATAATAAAATAATAAATAAGAGGTGGGAAAAAAAATCTTGGGCGATTTTCCCTGTCCCGTTGACTCAAAAAGAGTTTAAGCGGCTGCATGTGACAAGCCTCACACGTGTAAGGACAAGAACACATGGCTCTCCGGCCACCCAATTTTCTCTCCGGCGTTGTATTAGTTCCCTTCAATCTCTGTCTAAACCTAAACAAAAAAAAAAAAGGGGGGGGAAATAAAAATTTTAGAAAAGAAAATAAAAGAAAGAGGATTCATGTAAGCTTCCCCTCTCTGGGGTTCTCTTTCTCTTCTCCAGCTTTCGAAGATCCCTACCACCAAGGGATCTCTCTCAGGTATTTTCTCAAACACCCTTGCTGCATTGTCAAAGGAAGTAACTTTTGTATGAAAATTGACGCAATTTGACATTTTGTTAGTGACCTATTTCAAGAAAAGTGTGTTTTTTTGTGATGAGTCATGGAAATAGGCTAAAGCTGCTGCTTTTATGGCCTTGATGGTGCTGGCTTTGCTTGATTTTTTTTGGTGTTGGATCTGATCATTGGCTAATGGGTGAGTTGATTTGTGTAGAGGAAAGAATATGGCTTCTTTGTGTCATCGGAAATAAGCAATGTGACTTTGTATCTGCAAATATTTGATTTCAGTTTGAGGAACCTGATTTAGGCTATGGCATGTGCATTGACGGAGAATAATGGGAAGTTAACAAGGCCACCTTTTGAGGCAACCTGTGTGAAAATGTTGATGACGATCCCAGGGTTGGAAATTTGATCTATGTGAATTAATATAGGTTCATATGCTTGAGGCAGTCCAAGATAATTAGTAAACAATTTAAGAATAGAGGTGGAACGGCTGAGTTGGCAGTCAAATTCACTGGATATGTTCTTAGCAGATGATTCATACTTGAAATTTGGCAATGTCGCTGCTACTTTTCATGGATTGAGTCTGCAGCGCGGGACATTGGTGATATGACTAATAAATACTTATACACACAAATAGATACGTCCATGTCTGTCACCCCCGGCCCCACGAGCCTATTGGCACGATGTAAGTCTTGGGACCCATGGGGTGCAACGCGTGGTTTGGCTCAAAACGCTGCCAAAATTGGCTAGCCAATGTTGCACTTGGTTCCCAAGACCCATCATTTAAACCCTCTTAAACTCTATCAATCTTCCGACGTGGGACTATTAGTGGGGCATCACAATCACACCACCTTTAATACACGACGTCATCATCGCAGCATGACAATTAGCACATCCCACTATCAACGTTAGGCAATGTGGACTCTAGAGGCGGCTCCTACGGGCTTCTAGAGGTAGTTCACACCACACTCACGTGGTGTAGCACTTAGTCCCGCATAGCACTTAGCTCAATATTTTTGGCCGGCTAACTGCTCTGATATCATTTGTCACCCCACGGGCCCACAAGCCCGTTGGCGCGATGTAAGTCTTGGGACCCACGAAGTGAATCACGTGGTTTGGCTCAATCCACGACCAAAATTAGCTAGCTAATGTTGTACTGTGAAAATGTTGATGACGATCCCAGGGTTGGAAATTTGATCTATGTGAATTAATATAGGTTCATATGCTTGAGGCAGTCCAAGATAATTAGTAAACAATTTAAGAATAGAGGTGGAACGGCTGAGTTGGCAGTCAAATTCACTGGATATGTTCTTAGCAGATGATTCATACTTGAAATTTGGCAATGTCGCTGCTACTTTTCATGGATTGAGTCTGCAGCGCGGGACATTGGTGATATGACTAATAAATACTTATACACACAAATAGATACGTCCATGTCTGTCACCCCCGGCCCCACGAGCCTATTGGCACGATGTAAGTCTTGGGACCCATGGGGTGCAACGCGTGGTTTGGCTCAAAACGCTGCCAAAATTGGCTAGCCAATGTTGCACTTGGTTCCCAAGACCCATCATTTAAACCCTCTTAAACTCTATCAATCTTCCGACGTGGGACTATTAGTGGGGCATCACAATCACACCACCTTTAATACACGACGTCATCATCGCAGCATGACAATTAGCACATCCCACTATCAACGTTAGGCAATGTGGACTCTAGAGGCGGCTCCTACGGGCTTCTAGAGGTAGTTCACACCACACTCACGTGGTGTAGCACTTAGTCCCGCATAGCACTTAGCTCAATATTTTTGGCCGGCTAACTGCTCTGATATCATTTGTCACCCCACGGGCCCACAAGCCCGTTGGCGCGATGTAAGTCTTGGGACCCACGAAGTGAATCACGTGGTTTGGCTCAATCCACGACCAAAATTAGCTAGCTAATGTTGTACTTGGTTCTTAGGACCCATCATTTAAACCCTTTTAAACTCTATCAATTTTCCTATGCGGGACTACTAATGGGGCGGCACAATGTGTACATGCATTTCACATACACACATACGTACGTGCATATACATATATACATATGCATGCATGCACACATACATGGGCATATACATGCATATATCCATATACACATACATATGTAATACATTATAAGCATAAATACATACTTACACATATGTCTATACTCAGTGGCGTTGCGATAAGCTGATGATATTAGTGCACTGTTGCGAATGAGTGTCTGGTCTTAACTGCTGAGTCGTTGAATGAGACGAGATTAGCAGAGGCTTAGCATTCCACATCATTGGTTAATGGACAGCCTCTAGTTGGTCGGGGCTTTCATCCTTTAGATACTCTTTGAGTTTTACATCGATGACTGAGAAAAGAAAATCAATACTTGTATGCGTGAGTAGGTATGCTAAATTTCGGGCTAGACGATGACACATAAATCAGTGGCATTGACCATGTGATTTTCCTAATATCATTTGGATGCGATCAGTGGGCTTAGTTGCTTTGGCACTAAGAGGGGATAGGACACCTGATAAGTAAAGCATCTTAATTCTAAGCCGAGAGTCATAGCTGCATTATTCAACAATGCTCAAAGTGACTAGGAACCTCTTATCCTAAACCACCTCATAGTTGACACATGGCTCTTGTGTAATATCACACTGTTTAAACATGATTGTTGTTTACTCATTTGTTAACCTAGGAGCTTTCATTATGGTATCAACACAAGTTGTTGTTTGGTGGAATGTTGGATAAGTATTTAATGTTTCCATTTAATTCTGATAACACATATCCTATGTTTTATTTCTCTGTTATAACTGAAGGAGTCACTCAAGATATTGTTCATGAAAAAAAAAATAGCTTGAATTATAAAGTGGGTAAGATAGTTGTTAAAGAATTGACATGGTATAAGTATGCCTCAGTCCAATTCATTCTGGATGCTACTATGCCCATCATTAATCTTGTCTTTTAATACTATTTTCAATTTATCATTTTCCTGAACAACATATTAAGAAGGTTAACTTTGTTGAACACGGCCTTCCATTGTGTACTTTTAACAGTTTGATATATAATCTAGGGGCCTTTGAATAGTTTTTACCTACTATATGTTTGAAACTGTTCAGTGGCTGATGGGTACACATTACATGGTTTCTGTGACATTATATTTTCTCTTGATGTTTCTTTTTCAATATCTTGTCCATAAATAACCTCAATAAATCTTCAAACGTTTTCCCTTTTTTCTTACTTTTTTGTGTTCCATAGGACCTAAGTATGTTAAGGAGGACGGTGAAGGGTATGAGCTTAGAAGATCACGCCTTCTCCACCATGCAACTATGGCTGTATTGAGCAGCTAAGGTATATACATTTGATCTTTAGCATCGTCTGTCTAGATCAGACCATTACTTTTGTTTTGTTTGCCTGATAAACCTTAAAATCTTGTTCTCAAAGATATTGATCTTAAAGGCTATAATATGTTATAGTTTTCTCACTTTTATGTCCTTTGCACATCATTGAACATTTCATGATTCTTTCCATTGTTCATAATGATGAAGTTCCATGGTTGTCATATGTTACCAACACTGTTTGTTATCTTCCCTCTTTTTCTCATGTTAAGGTAAGATGACGTTTTCCACTTATAAATGAAGTGTCACCATCTTCAAGCAGTATCACAAAATGATTTCCACACAGTTCATTAATTGAACTCGTCCCAGAAACATGTCAAACAAAGAATTGGATCATTACATTGAGACATGGATATCTTGTTTGCATCAGAAGTTTGGTTTGCCAAAGGGAAAAATCATAAGATTGCTATAGGAGTCATAATTACATTTGCATCAGTGTGAACTAACACATCTTTAAATTTGGAAGCATTGTATTTTGATATAGCCTTTCTGTTAGTTGGTTTTATGCCATTCTGAGCTTCAGACAGCATGCTATCTCATAAAGTTTGTTAGCTATGCTCTCTAACTTGTAAATATATCATCACCTGAAAGCATTTCCACTGATGTTGTGTTGTTGCTTATAGCAAAATGGAAGTTTGCTGCCCTTATTTTGACCCTGATTTTGAGAACTTCAATGAGAGGATTTATGGCCCAAGGTTAGTTGCACAGTACTATGTACTACATGATCATAAAATTGTACAATGGCATCCAATAATTCTTTTAATTCCTTTTTATGATTGTTTTTCTCATTTGCTTTTGCAGAGTTTATGTAGATAACGAGTCTTGTGACAAATGCACCGTAGTGAAGGTGAGAATACATAAGCTTTGATGCTTATATAATGGCTAACATATGGATTGTTTGTGTAGGTGGATAGTCTCGACAAACAAGGACTCCTACTTGAAGTGTTGCAAGTATTGACTGACATGGATCTCTTTATTTCAAAGAGTTATATATCATCTGATGCCGGATGGTTCATGGATGGTAACAATAATAACTTCCTAAGTTAGTTTGATATTCGCATTAATTGAATCCTGACATTTTTGTTACAGATTTTTTAGCGGCATTTGTTTAGGGCCTGTTTGGATGAGAAGAAGTATTGGAAGCAAAAAGTAGATTAAAGAAGAAACTTTTAAAATTATGAAGTAGGAAGTAGCAAAAGTGATATTTTTTTGTTTGTTTTGCTTATTTTTAGTAGTAGTGGAAATTGAATTTCTTCCACTTCACCACTTTTTGTTTGAATAGGAATTGAAAGTATTGTTAGGGAGTGACTAATACTTGTTACTTCCATGATTTTTTCTTGTTTGGAATGTCATTGAAGTAGAAGATATAGTTAGTATACACACCATGTCGAGATTACCTCCCTTTTCATCTTTGACTTTGTATGAAAATTTTCAAAAAAGGTGTCTGTTCGATGATTAAAATTTATCAAACAACTATCTATGATTTGTTTATTAACAGAAATTTGTTTATTGATAGAAATTTGTTTATAACTCCTCGCAAATTTTCTATGGCTACGAAACTCCATGGACTAGGGGTTAATCTGAAACCATAAAGCTTATATATATTGTTCTGTGTCAACAAATGTTGCTCCTAGTTCGGAGATGGGCAAGTGAATCGCATCGTGAGTTATTATGTTGAGTTTATTATATTTAATCCCACATTTCTTGGGGGCAAACTGTGTTTTAATTCTTAATCTATTAATTAGACATGTGAGGAGAGGGTCAGAATATCCTCTTTGATTACAATTTTCAATCAGGTATCAAAGCCACGCAAAACCTTAGCCACTACAAAACCCTAGGCTTTCACAAACCCTTAGCCTCTACAAAATCATAGGCCCTCACAGAACCTTAGCCCCCCTCACAACCAAAAACCAACATCTACCTTAATCTTTGTACTGTTCACTGTGAACAGTAACATTTTAGCTGTTCGCAATGGCCAATACTGAGGTTACTATCCGTCATGAACAGTGTCGAGTTTACTGTTCGCTCTGAACAGTATCAGGGTGACTATTTACAATGAATAGTACCATGGACCTAGTTTGCCCGTTTTCAATGCTCTCGTCGGTGATCAAAATTGTCACCATTCGTAGCAATAATAGCCCTCGAAATATATGCTATCGTTATCTCCACCATCCTGATTTTCCTTCGTCCCCACCTCCCTGCTCAACTTACCGAAACCTTTACCACTACTAGCTACAGAAAGAGGAAAAAAGAGAGAAAAGGAAGGGAAAAAAGAGAAAAGAAGAAAAGGTCAGTAAAGAAAAGAAAAGGAAAAGAAGAAAAAGGGATTTTGATCAAATTAGGATCTGATTTATTGTAGTTGGAGTCGGATTTCATAGTGATTTGTTTTATTTTTGATATTTGAAGTTGGAGTTGGACTTTACTATGTGGATTGGTTAGCTGGCTTGAGTATGGAGAGGAAGTGCTTGATGTTTGTTTGGTTTGAAAGGTTGGCAGGGTGGTGCCATGTTTAACATACTTTGTGATTGATATAGCAGAAAACCGGTTTGTTTGGTCTAGGTTTTGGAGATTGGTTTGGTGGAGATCATTGTGTTAGTTTGCTTTAATGTTTGGTTCAATAAAAATTATTCGGTTGGTTCGTTTTGGAGAAGATCATTCTCTCATTTCATTTAATGGATCATTAAAGAATGATCATTTATTATTGGATCCTTCAAGGTATGATCATTTGTTTATTAGATCCCTGATGAAGGATAATTTCTTGTTAGACCCTTAAAGAATGATTGTTTGTTGGTTAGATCTCTAAGAGGATCTTAGATTGTTTGGTGGATCTCAGAGAGGATCGTTTGTCGATGGATCCCTGATCATTTTTTTGGTGAATCCTAAAGAGAATTGTTTGATTGGCTTCAGGATCATTTGATTAGTGGAGCTCTAGTGAAGATCAGCTGTTTTGAAGACGTCCAAGTGAAAGATAACAAGTTCAAGACTACTTTGAGTTTGAGACTGGTCATAGATTAGAGCGTGCACTTTATTTGCATCATGCTGAACATATATAATATATATGCTCAGGTTGAGGGCGAGTGTTGTAGTTTATTATATTTAATACCACATTGCTTGAGGACAAACTACTTTGTAATTCTTAATCTATTAATTAGACTTATAAGGAGAGGGTCAGAATATCATCGCTGATTACTATTTTCAATAAATCGCAAACAAAGATTATCTGACAATCCAGTCCAAGTTCTTTCTTGTCTGTATAAACTTTCATGGTGAAGGTTTGATCTAAACATTCATTAGAAAAATGAAAAATCTACAGTACATAAAATAGCACAAACTATTAGCATACACACACACACAAGGACTTCAGGGTTAATAATAGACATGATGAATTGTCTCCTCTTAACAAACAAAAATTTACTCACACTAAACAGTTAGTGAAATCTATGTCAAAGTTACTGAGGAAGAAAATTGAAAAAAATTCACCTGCATCCCTCACTATAGTAAATCTTCTAATTATTCCTCACATGTACAAGAGGGCAATGGAGATGAGAGGTGAACTTTTGCCACAAGCACAACAAAGTTTTTTCCGTCAGAAAATAGAACGGTGAAGGTATCAGGTGAGAGAGAAGTTAGGGATTCTAATCAGTTTCTAATCGTCTCTAATTTCACGTGTCTCCTAATCTTTATGTGGGCCTCAATGCAATTTCATCTACTTTCTCTACGCTTCTGAGCCCTGATGGGCGGAAATTTTTTTGAAAGTAGTAGTGCTACGTAGGATCTACGTCAGCAACTAAGGAAGTAGAGGAAATAGATTTTCCAAAAAAACAATCTCTTCAGCTCAAAAGTAGTGGAAGTAGTGTTTATTTCTTTTACTTCAGTTACTTCATAGTTATTTCTGTGCAAACAGACAAGCCCTTAGTGTCTATATAGAATACAAATTGTGAGCTGATTTTAGTAGGCTAAATTATCATATTAGCCTAAGTGATACCTTTTTCTAGTTTGCCTAAAAATGACGCTAGCGACGGTTTAGCCTAAAAATAACAAATACGATGACAAATAGGTATTTTCGGTGCCGAAGTCAAAATTTAAGTGAAAATTTAAATGATTTTTGCATATAGACCCATCACTCACCCATATTTTCAGATTTATCCCTTCAAGTTCTAAAATATGTAAAAAAAAAAACTCTTCTGTCTCTGTCGCTCTCTCTCACTCTCAAATATCTATAAAAAAAACTCTTCTTCCCGTCCTCCCCCCTTCCCACCATTTCCTCCATCACCCTTCCCACCATCTCCTCCATTCTTTTCTCGTCCCGATCCTCAACCTCCCCTCCTTTCTTCCACTCTCTTTCTTCTTCCTTTTCCATACCCTCCTTATTACTTCTACCTTTCCCTTTTTCTCCAAACTCATCTCTTCTTAACTTGTTTCGCTTCTCTCTCTTCTTTGTGCTCTTTCTCCTTCTTTCTCTCTCCCTTCTCCTTCACTCCCTGCTAATGCTTCAAATAAAATGTTTGATGTTAAGTGTAAGAAAGAAAGATGAGGAGGAAATTGAGTTTTTGATGATTAGAAGGTGAAGAGGGAGTGGGTAGACCAAGGAGAGGGAGAGGGAGCGGGAGAGACGAAGAGGAGAAGGAGGTTGGGTGTTTGATAGAATGCTTGATGTTGGATAGAGCAAGGAGGAGGTTGGGTTTTTTTAAATGATTAAAGGGCGAAGAGGAAGTGGTAGGAGCATGGAGGGGGAGGGAGTGGGAGAGAGGAGGGGAGGTTGGGGATTGAGAGGAGAAGAGAATGAAAAAGATTGTGGAAAGGAGAAGAAAAGAAGGAATATAAGAAAGGATGGATAAGGAGTGGGAGAGAAGAAGGAAAGTTGAGGATTGGAGGAGAATAGAATGGAAAAGAAGGTAGGAAGGAGGAAGGAAGAGATAGTTGGAAGGGATGGTTTTTTTATAAATTTGAATGGAGGAGATGGTGGGAAGGAGAAAGGAAGAGATGGTGAGAAGGAATGTTTTTTTTTTTCAAATTTGAATGGAGGAGATTGTGGGAAGGAGGAAGGAAGAGATGGTGGGAATGGAGGGTTTCTTTTACAAATTTTAGAATTTTTTGGGAAGCTTAATCCGAAAAATATGGGAGACTGAGTAGTCTATATGCAAAAGTCACTTAATTTTTTACTTAAAAATTGTCTTCGGCACCGGAATACCTATTTGTCATCGTATTTATCACTTTTTAGGCTAAACTGTTGCCGACGTTACTTTTTAGGCTAAACTGGTAAAGGGTGTTACTTTTTAGGCTAATATGATATTTTAGCCGATTTAGTGTCAATTAAGCCCGAAGCTAATCATTTCATGGATAATGTGGTGCACTTGTAAAGCCATTTTTGTTATTACCATGGTTGCTTTTTGCATGTATGTTTCATCCTTTTGTAGCATGTGTCTTGTACCCAAAACCTGCTCTGTGGTTCATTTTGCAACTGACATGCTTGCTAGCTATGTTGCTCCATAATATGGTAGATCTGCTTTTGCTTTATAAAACTGTTTCTTTTAATTAAAATAATGATGACTTCTATTGACCAGCTACACATTGAATGGTTATGTATTATCTAATATGTTTGTTTGCTTTCTTTTTTATTTTCCATTATGTATGTTATGTATTGTACACTAAGTAATGGTATAGAGAAAAATGTAATTATTGTATATAAAAAGATTGAGATAGATGCATCATGTATCTTGCTACACCAGGTAACATTTCATGATTGGTGGAATCTAGAAAGGGGTCAGATGGTCTGTAACCATAAAATTCTAGTGGTTTTTTCTTTAACATCTTTCCCTTAGGATATATTACGATGAAGCTTTAAGCATAAACTTTACTTATACTGCTTAAAAATCAACATCTTGGAGTTTTATTCGAAAATTCTTTCTTCAATACATGAACATGAACCTGATATTTTATGCTGCTGGTTCATTTTTCTTATTGGTATATACTGGAATTATATTTTTGTGAATTCTAATTGGTTATTTCTAATGGCTCTCGTCTCTTCACACCTGAAAGTATACTGATTATACGTGTGACCTAAAATTGGGATTTGGCATGGTTACATAAATGCTGTACATACACTCAGCTTTTGTCTTTGTGGAATGGCAAAATAAAGTACCTTTTAAGCCCTCCCTTTCAACTGAGAAAATGACCTACGCACGGAAATGGATATTGTGTCTGGTTAAAAGAGTAAAATGATAATAATGTGACTGATGTTAACTTTTTTTCTCTCTATTGTAGTCTTTCATGTGAAAGATCAACTTCGTAACAAGATCATGGATAAGCAAGTCATTAGTTATATTCAACAGGTCAGTTTATTCCTATCATTTTGCTATGCTACTATTAGTACATATAAGAAGAAACAAAAGAAATGGCTTATGAAACTTTTCTGGTTTCTTTTTTTCATACACCATTATTTAGAGATTCCAATTCATATGCGACCTGCAAAATTTGTATGACATCGCTTCCCTTTACCTGTCATGATGAAGGTCATTTTGAAGAATAGTTGCAATATACTTCAAAAGATTAATTACTCTTTTTTTCCTCTTGAGCAAATTGCAGTTTCTTGTTCAGGTTATCCAATGGTGCATTTCTTGAATTGTACGCCCATTTTTATGCACAGTTTTTTAGAGATAGTTTTTTAAACTATTAGTTTAAATTATTAGATTCTCTGTGTTATGCATTATGGAAGTTACTTACTATTGTTGAATGGATCTTTATGCGTATTCTTCCTTTTTTTTCCTCAAAGCCTTGAATTTCCTCCAAATTTGCCAACTTGCTCAGAACATCTTTTTGTAGGCCATAGATGTTCGTAGAGGTCTTCAAAATCCAACAGTGGCGAACTTCGACAAAAACACTATGCAAAACGGACCCTCCAAAGATCACACTGCCATAGAAATGATAGGGATCAACAGACCGGGTCTTTTCTCAGAGATTTCAGCTGTCCTTGCCGAGCAAAGATGCAATATTGTCGAGGCCCATGCTTGGAGTCACAACATGTGCCTTGCCTGTGTCGCCTATGTCTCTGATGAATCCACCTTAACCTCCATCGATGACCCCAACAGGCTTGCCACCATTGAAGGCCACCTCTCAACTGTCCTCCAACCCTCAAGCACTTTTTTGGATAATGACCATAAAGGGGTCAAGACTCGATTTCTTGGATGTAATAGCTCAATGAGTCATATGGAACGAAGGCTTCATCAACTCATGTTGGCTAATCAAGATTTTGATGATCCATCAGGGACCACAAGCCCTTCGTTCTCATCGATGGGTGTGAATGATGTTGATGAGGAGGAAAGGAGGATGTTGGTGTCAATTGATAGGTGCGGTGAGAAAGGGTACACAATCGTAAATGTCCAGTGCATGGATCGGCCGAAGCTCATGTTTGATATAGTTTGTACGCTTACGGACATGCAGTACGTTATCTTTCATGCTTCCATTGCTTCTCATGGGTCATTTGCGTATCAGGTATATTTATAACAAAGCCTTTTTCGCATACTTTTAGTTGTAATAAAATTAAGGAAAAATATATCAAATGAAGAAGGGCTCAGTGAACTTCTTAATTTTTTGAACTAACTACTTGTGAAACTACTTACTTCGAGCAAGATGCATTATTTAACTCTGACCTAGGTATTACACAAGCAATGTAGTGTAGTTGTCAACCATTCTGTAGATTGAAAAGTGCTATGCTTATTTTTCTGTAGTGTAACATGTTATTTTATTAGCAATGATAAAAAAATGTCATGTCTTGCTAGTTAGCTGATATATAACCCAGTCTGATGCTAACTGGAAATGTGTGTCAAATGAGTTAGTCATATTCTTTGGAGGCCCACAGTACTGCTTTGCGCTCATCACTGTGGTTAGATTCATCTTATGCCAAAAGTTTAGCCAATCTAATGTAGTTTGATTTTGTCTGAATTGTTGACAATGATTTATGACACTGTGGTTTTATAATAATGTACTAATTACACTGGTGTGTGATTGTGATGCATTTAAGTGTTACCCATATTTGGATCCAGAACTCCCATAGGTCCTCCCATTTGGGTCTTTGTGGACTGAAGACCTGTGTTAGCCAGTCCGTGACCTCAAGTGGGCCATTTTCCATGACACACTGGTATCAGAGCAGCATGCTGCTATTAAAAAAACTGTTAATTGTGCCCAAGTCTAGGTATTGGAGCATAGATCTCAGATTGACATAGAATATTAGAGTATTTCATGGCCTTCACCAAAAAATAAAAAAAAGCTCTTACCAGGTAGAGTGAAATAGCATTCAATAGTAAAAGAAGTCTGGCCTCAAGAACCTGATAGTGTTTCCCTCTTTTGTGTCCTTTGTTGGTTCGTATCTATTGGCCAGTCCATCATAAATATAATGTGTGCCCTTTGTAACAGAACATGAGCATGAGCGATGCAATAATAGCAGAGTAGCTTCAAAATTTACTATAATCTTCAGCAATCAATATCCTAGTTGAAGCAAGATGCAAAGTGTATATACTTAATATCAGCCATGAATTTTGATTACTACATTACTTGTTTCCAATTCATTTTGATGACGATGCCCCTCTACCATGTATCAAAAGTATCTAATGGTTATGTGCAGGAATACTATATTCGGCACAGAAATGGTTACATGCTGAACACTGCCAAGGAGAGACAACTAGTCTCAAAATGCTTGGAGGCTGCTATAGAGCGGCGAGTTTGTGAGGTGAGAAGGTTATTTTTAGTTGTGAAGCTAAGTTACAAACCCATCCATCCACCCACACATACAACAAGAACAAAGCATTTTCCCAAATATTTTGCGGTTGGCCACATGAATCCTATTTTTCCATTATGTTTTGTTTAGATCCTTTGTTAAGTTAACCACTGTCATATCTTTCTTAATTGTTTCCAATCAAGTTCCCTTAGGTTTACCTCTACTCTCCTTGCTCTATTAATCATGAGTTTATCATCTTTTCTGTTTGGTGCACTTTCTAGGCTTCATTGCACATTGTAAAACCATCTCAATCGATTCCCTATCATTTTATGCTTAACAAAAAGTTCTAACCTCCTACTAATGCCCATTTCTTATTTTAACGCTTTATATATATGCAGAAATCAATCGTGACATGCACGCATACATGCACAAAAGAAAACCAAATAAATACCATTAATTGTAATCTTATCATCTCTCTTCTATTTGGTGCATTTTCTGACCTCCATTGCATGTTACCAAACCATCTAATTGATTTTCTCTCATTTTATCTTCAATAAAGACCTCTATCTGCCTATGAACTCTGCCATTTCTTATTTTATCTCTTTACACACACACACACACACACACACACACACACACATATATATATATATTACATACACCCACACATGCACGAAAGAAAACAAAGTAAAGAACAACCTCCCTTGGTGACTATTTTGTTGTAATTTCTTATCAGGGAGTTCGACTTGAACTATGGGCACAAAACAGTGTCGGATTACTTCCCTGCATAACTCGAATCCTTCGAGAATATGGACTCACCGTTGCTAGGGCAGATATCGCAACCCAAGGCGAAAAAACAAAGAATGTGTTCTATGTTCAGGATATCTCTGGTGATAAAGTCGACATGGAAATATTAGAGCTTATGAGGAGAGAGTTGGAGCCATTGGCATTCAATGTGAAGAATGAACTGTTATTGCCCCAGAGGATGAACACAATAGAAAGAGAGAGTTTCTCTTTTGGTGGTCTGCTTAGATCTCAGTTAGAGAGATTATCTCACAGCTTTATTTCGACATGAGGGTGAGAATGACAGTGAGAGATGCTTTCTTTTTTGTGCAACGTGTGTGTATTTGGCTGAGTTGTCACAGTGTTTTTGTACATAAGTGAAATCTGTGAAATGCAACCGGCTTTTTTTTCTCACCATCTCCCATTGGTCTCTTATATTTTGAGAATTTGTGATGTTTTCTTTTATTGAGTATTGGTGGGGAGAAAGTGTAAAACCCCGCAAAAATTGAGATAATATGTGATTAATTGTGATAAGTGAATTTTATTGTGATAAGTATCATTAAATGATGAATGAGTATGATAGCAAGTGATTTGAGATCAAACAAGTTCGTATATGTGAGAGAAACGAGTTAGAAACATGCACGAACGCAAAACATGCACATGCATAAAATCTATGGCCGGTCGACCGCACATATGTGGTTGGTCGACCGACCCGCGTATTTTCAGACTCCCAGTTTGAGTTAAGATTTCGGGTCAGTTTGCTTTTTTGGGGTTTGCCTCCATATATAAACTTATATTTTTCACAAAAATTAAGTTTTTTATATCCTTCTTCTGAACCCTAGCAGTCACCATCTCCCCTCATAAACTCTAGACCAATTTCTTGCAAGTTTTGAGTGCTTTGAGAAGCAAATTACGACGTGAGGGCGAGATCGTTGGCGTGTGGCTAAGGGGATTTGGCTTGTGCTTGCACTTTTGGATTTTCAACAGAGATTTTCAGGCGAGCATCATCTCTTTCAACCCTACACCCATTTTTAAATGGTTTTAATGAGTTTTGGTTTGTTTTATTTGAGCCTACACCCTATTTTGTGTACAAGAAAATAGTATATGATTAAAAGATCTAATCTTTCTGCTTTAAAAGGGTTATGAACGAATTATTTGACGTGTTTTTAAGAACTAAAGGTTTCTAAACATGAGTTTCAGATGTGATTTGATGATCTTCACAACGTTTGATATACTTGAACAGGAATATGGTTTGCACATAATATTTAACATAAATATTTTCGTTTCCTGTGGTTTTATGATCTCTAAGAACACTGAAAAAAGTATTTATAAAGAGTTTTTACATATTAAGATTGAAATATATGAGATAGAAGTGAAAACTTGACACTGTTTCAAACCTAGCAGAACTGGAGTTTCTGCCTCTGGCCGGTCGATCGTCGCATAGGTGTCGGTCGACCGACCAGCAGTTTAGTGCACATGCATGTTTTGCGTAATTTATTGTTTGACCGAAGGATTATTTCGGTTGACTGACATTGTATTATGTTGGTTGTTGATTGTTTAACACATGAGGTGTTTATGAACACGAGATTTGGATTCGCACATCGAGATACATGCATGAACATATTGTTGGATTTAATCTAATAAATCTATTTGTGGGCACATATGATTAAACAATGTGTATTGCTATCTTTCAGGATAACCCACTAAAGTGATCAATTAAGTTGGGTTAATTTGGTATTTAAATGATCATGGGGTCATATGTGCAGATACCAGGTTGTAATTGTAATTTATTGAGGGGCTAAATTACAAAAGTACAACATCTATAAATAAGGGGTTATGGTCCCTAACCTAGGGTTACATTCTCTAATTCTCTTCACCCCCATCTAAGAGAGAAATTCGGTTTTAGAGGAAACCCTAAGGTTAGAAGATCCAAAACCCAAAATCAAGATCAAGCAATGGATTCAGGTATAAGCTTCCGCTCTTTTAGATCCTTGTTAATCTCTTTGAATTAATCATGGCTATATGGTTTTAGATCTCAAGTTTTATGATGTAGATCTAACAAGTGGTATCAGAGCCACCTTGATTAATTCTTAGGGATTTAAGTTTTATTGGGTTTTTGATCTTAAATCTCTGGTTAAAGATTCAATTTTTGGGTTCGGATGAACAGTAATGTTCTCGGATGAACAGCAACAAAAATTTTTTTCGGATGAACAGTAAAGTATTTTTCGGGTGAACAGTAACTGAAAAATCGCAGGTGAACAGTAACTTTTGGGAATTTTTTGGATTTTTCTTTGATTTTTCCTTCAATTTTTTCCAATTCTGGATCTGTTTTGAAAAGAAAAATCAAAGGTTTTTTGGGTTTGTCGGCGGCGGTTTCAATTTGAAACCCTAAGGGTTCATGGCGAAAATTAAGGAGGTGGTTACCTCAAACGAACCTCGCGTTCGTTCAATTTTAACCGAGCTTCGCGCTCAACGAACCTCGCGTTCGTTCTAAGGTGAACCTCGCGTTCAACTCAGGTGAGCGTCAAGCTCAATTTCAACGAACCTCGCGTTCGTTCTAAGGTGAACCTCGCGTTCAACTCAGGTGAGCGTCAAGCTCAATTTCAACGAACCTCGCGTTCGTTCCCAAGGTGAACCTCGCGTTCAACTCAGGTGAGCGTCAAGCTCAATTTTTTAACGAACCTCGCGTTCGTACTTCAGACGAACCTCGCGTTCGTACTTCAGACGAACCTCGCGTTCGTACTTCAGTCGAGCCTCGCGTTCGTACTTCAGACGAACCTCGCGTTCGTACTTCAGACGAACCTCGCGTTCGTACTTCAGACGAACCTCGCGTTCGTACTTCAGACGAACCTCGCGTTCGTACTTCAGACGAACCTCGCGTTCGTACTTCAGACGAACCTCGCGTTCGTACTTCAGACGAACCTCGCGTTCGTACTTCAGACGAACCTCGCGTTCGTACTTCAGACGAACCTCGCGTTCGTACTTCAGACGAACCTCGCGTTCGTACTTCAGACGAACCTCGCGTTCGTACTTCAGACGAACCTCGCGTTCGTACTTCAGACGAACCTCGCGTTCGTACTTCAGACGAACCTCGCGTTCGTACTTCAGACGAACCTCGCGTTCGTACTTCAGACGAACCTCGCGTTCGTACTTCAGACGAACCTCGCGTTCGTACTTCAGACGAACCTCGCGTTCGTATAAGAAGGAACATTCCGACATTCAGAGTTCGAACGAGAATTTCTTATTCATCGCTCCTATAATGATTGGGTTATCCCTAAGAATACCTCATATGATGTTCTTCTGGAAACTTCCTGATGCATTGGTTATCCTGAAGATACTAAGGATAGTATTTTTTCAGGAACTTGCCGTTTATCGGCATCATAAGCCGGTCACCGTCCTTGGTGATAAGGCGATATGCGCCACTCGAGTAGACTGTCTCCACTACGAATGGTCCCTCCCATTTGGGTTCAAATTTGCTGAGAATCATCAAAATATCAAGAGACTGATTCAATAAGCATGAGAATAAGCAATATTTTATTTCCAACCCTTTTGATTGATATCGGGTTATCCTTAAGAATATCACGTATGATGTTCTCCAGGAACTTCCCGTTAGATACAAAGGAAACAGTTTATACTCATATACCCGTTGGAGTTTTGAAAGAAGCAGTTTATACTCGTATACTTGTCGGAGTGTGGTGGTCATTCTCATTCGGTTTGTTCTGCCGTTGAGACGCCGGCTTCAACTAAGGCCTGTATTGTATTCTTGAGAGTGATACAAGTCTTGGTGGGATGATGGATCCTCCTGTGGTATTCACAATATTTTGGGTCTGAACTCCCGCTGGCTTCCTCCTGGCTTTTAATAGGTGGGAGCTTGATTTTGTCGCTTTTTAGGAGGTACTTGAGGATGGCTGGAACCTCATCATCCTTGAAAGAGTATCGTTGTATCTGAAGTGACTGTTGTGGCGATCGCTCCCACGACTGTCGTTGTGACGTTTGATCAGCAGCGAACCTGGGTACGAACTCTGATTGGCTTTCCTCGACCCTCTTTCTTTTAGGATAGCGTCTAGTCGAAGTGGTGACAGACTCGACCCCCTTCTGCTTTTCGTCTTCACTTTCATGATGTCGAGAAGTAGGAATTGGGCCACCCCCAGTGTCAATTTTGGTCGTACCACCCCCAGTGTTATCGAGGGGTGAATCAGTCTTGACAACCATATTCAAATTTGGACCATTGTTATTTGTCCTATCTGGAATAGGCGTGATTGGGGTAACGCAACAGCTAGACCCAGCTTGATGATCCGATTTAGGAAATTTACACCTTTCAGCTTGCAACTCTCTTATTTGTCGCATAGCCAATTCCATCTTACCCTCAAATTCTTCTTTCTGCTTGATTAATGCTTCTTGAACTATTTGAGTGAGCTGGTCAGGAGTAATGTTGAACGCATCCCTAGTGTTTTTAGAAAGACATGATAACTCGTGTAGAGTCACTTTTACTGGGATGTTAGTCATAACATCGAAGTGGTATGAAATGTTTGAATCTCCCGGTTTATCTCTTCCAATCTGCTGATTGAATCGAGACTGCCTCGGGTTTTGAACATCTTGGTGCAGGGGCTCCTGTTGGGTCCTCTCAGCAGGTGCGGGGGTAGTTGTAATCATCTCCACCCCATTCAGTCGACGATACTCATTCCCATGTTCATTGTCGGGAAATGAGAAAGTAGGCATTGCTTCGTCATCTTCCCCTGGAATAGCAGAAGTTGCATGACAAGATTTACCTTTTGACTTTTTCTTGGACGAGGATCCAGTCCATTGTTCATCTCCGATCAAATCTGGATGAACCCAAAGAATCTCACCATTAGGGGCTGTGTATGGCACAAGTCCTTTCTGGCGCTGCTTGTGAGGATCATCGTTCACTGTCTTTACTGCTGCATTTATTACTGGTTCATGCTGGAACCAATTTAAGGGAACAGAACCGAAGCTAATCGATACTGCATTTGCTCCTACTCTCTTCTCCTTCGGCTGCTTCATTGTGATGACCCCGACATCGATTAGAGCTTGGATCTTGTCCTTAAGGGCATAGCACGCCTTGGTAGGATGGTGCACCGCTCTATGAAATGCGCAGTATTTTGGATCATTGATTCTCTTGGCATCTTCCTGATCCTGGATTGGAGGCAATTTGATCTTGTTATTCTCAATGAGGTACTTGAAGATACCGGGAACTTCATCCTCTTTGAACGAATAAACTTTTGGGAACTTCGGCTCCGAGACTTTCGGCTTCTGGGTCTGCTGTTGCCATCTTGATGGTTGAGGCGCCTTTTGCTGCTGCTGTTGCGGCTGCGCTTGCACCTCGAATGTTTGATTCGCATTCACGGTATTTGCATGTGCTTTTCCTTTTCCCTTAGGGGCAAAGTTTGGTTGCGGGGCATTATTAGCTATTTGACCCCTTTCCGCCTTCTTCCTTTTGAGGAATCGTTCGGCTCGTTCTCCTCGCACCTTCAGATCCTTCCAGGTCTTTGGTGGCGCCATTCCCATAGCTTCGAGGATGTCCAAGGAAAGATTGTTGTGACAGGTCTCGAGGATGAAATCTTCGCTGACCGGATCCCTACAATTCATTGCTTTATTTCGAAACCTCTTCACAAAGTTTTCGACTGTCTCACCGTTCTTCTGTTTCTCCTCAAACAGAGTGCTGATTGAGACCTCAGTGTCGTCGTCGAAGAAGTTCGTCAGAAACATGTCCTCCATGTCGTCCCAACTGCTGATGCTCCCCGGCTTGAGGCGACAATACTAATCGAAGGCCGCTCCGCGAAGAGTGCCAACGAATGACCGTACCATCAAGGGTTCATTGCCAGAGATTATTCCTAAGTGAGACTTAAAATATATTAAGTGTTGGGTAGGGGAACCCTTTCCATCAAACGGCGTAAAGTTGATTAAGTTGAACTTTGCCGAATATGGAATTGATTCCCACTCCCTTGGATATAGACATGGTATGCCGGACCTTTTTACCTCTTGAGCGTTCATCAACGCGTTGATTTTGCTCTCCAAGTCCTTCATCTTCTTGTATTCACTCGTTTCTATCTTCGAGTGGCTTTGGGGAGAAGTAACGTGGTCCTCTTTTGCATTATCATCTACAGGGCCACCTCCGTTGTCATTGTTGACAGGGGGAATAATTATGTTGATATTATTCCCTTCCCGTTCATTCTCATCTTGATTCTGAGGATTGTGTCAAGTGGGTTCTCTTTGATGAGTTGTCAGAGCCGTGATTTGCTGGTCGTGCATCTCTCTCATCTGTTGCATGGTCATCTCCATCTCGAACTTGAAACTTTCTTTCTGCCGAGCCAGGGCATCTTCAAGCATCTTGTTTACTTGTTCGGCGCTTATCATGAGTACCTCGTGGGGTTGTCCCTCGCTGGATACCGTGTTGTCCGATGCAATCGCAGAGCAGGCATCTGATCCTTCGTCTTCTGACGGTGATCTCGTCCGAACCCTACCATAAGTCCCTCGTGTAATGGTTCCGGACTGCAGATGAGTTAAATACCAGGGTACTAGCGGAATTGACTCGGGATTATCCCCCGTCGATGCCCTTTTGCTGGCCATATTAGTAGTGACCTTCGGAAATTCTCCGTCTTTGACTATCCTTCTTCTTCGTTGGAAACGCCTAGGCTTAGTCTCAGACGTTCCGGTGGAAATCCTCTCGAACACCGAAACTCTCCTTGGGGCTTTAGAACAACAGCATTTTGATAACACCGCCCTGATGATGTTGGCACATGGACAGTGAGGTTCCGCGTCTCGCGCGTTTCGCTTCCAAGACTTACTCGCACCCCCAGCTCTATAGTACAACTCATCAGTTTGGTAACTGGAGCAACCTATAGAGTGTTGGCACGATTTCCCAGGTATAACACAATCATCATCAGACGAATGTGCTTCCTTCTGGGGATATGACGCTTTATTAGCGTTTTCAAAAGTCGCTCGTTCAAGTCTACGCTTTTGCGAGCGTAAAAACTTAACGGGCTCTTGAATTTCGACACGCAACCCGATGCGGTCGGCAATAGGGGTTTTCCCTTTGTTATTTTCCTTGGGGGGATTAGAACGACCCCCAGTCGGGTTTATCATTTGGGGACCTTTCAACGGACCCAATCACTCTTTGATAGGTACTTTACCTCGATTCCCCGATAAGGGACCGAGGCGACCTTTCAGAGGGACCCTGGATGTTGAAGGATCCGTGTTCTTACCTGACTCCACCGGAGGTGCGGGGGCAAGGGGAACGGGACCTGGATTTGATGAAGGTTGGGCAGCAACATCTTCAGCTCTTGTCTTAGGCGTTGGTTTTGCCTTTAGCATCCACACATGTTTAAATTTTGGCGGATTCTTGACCGCCTCTTCTTTCTGCATCTCCTCCGCTTTCTGTAGGAGAGCTCGGGCATGCGCAAGCAGTGCACG